CAGTGGACATACATATAAGACGATGTAAACTTAGAACTTCGAAATCAGTAATTAACATACTCTGTGACGTACACATGACTACAGAAAACTCTCGGTTTACGAACGCTCAATTTACGAACGTTCTCTATTACGAACGTCACAATTCATTCAAAATTTCTTAAATTCCTTATAAAACGAAATGCCAAACGTATTGTGAACATAATTGTAAGATTTAAATAAACAAACTTTTTGAAAATGTATTTATTACAACATTTATCAGAAAATTATTACATGATAATTATACTGAACTGTTCTTGGATATTAAAACTAATCTCTCCACTAAAAAAACAAACAAACAAACAAACAAAACGGCGGTTTAACATGCCACGCCGATTAGAATTTTTTCGCGTGGGAAGGAAATCGGTGATTCCTCCTGCTTTGCTTTCTAAAAATTTAAGCGATCATGGGTCCAAAGCGAAATAGTAGTGCTGGTACTGATAAACCATAACGCATACATTATAAAAAAATGTATTGTATAGACAATTCGATGTTTAGTACATGGTTTAAATGTTTTAAAATGGCTGCTAACATATAAGATACGTATCGTAAAAGCTCGGGAATGCAAGATACACATAACGAACAAAAACGTATAACGAACAACGTCTTAGAACGGAACTCGTTCGTAAGCCAAGAGTTGCCTGTATTGGCGAGGGTATGAACTAATGTAAAGATAAGTGAATTGCCGCGCCATCTGTTGGAAGGTATTAACTAATAGGCCCGCGAAAATTTTCTGACCCGTTCACCTCCTTGGGTATCCTATAACCCGGATAGAAACACCGAAAACTCAAAGCTAGGTGACCTGCTTCGCCCTCTGTTAACAAAGACATGAACTAATGTAAAGATTAGTGAATTGCCGCGCCATCTGTTGGGAAGGTATTAACTAATAGGCCCGCGAAAATTTTCTGACCCGTTCACCTCCTTGGGTATCCTATAACCCGGATAGAAACACCGAAAACTCAAAGCTAGGTGACCTGCTTCGCCCTCTGTTAACAAAGACATGAACTAATGTAAAGATTAGTGAATTGCCGCGCCATCTGTTGGGAAGGTATTAACTAATAGGCCCGCGAAAATTTTCTGACCCGTTCACCTCCTTGGGTATCCTATAACCCGGATAGAAACACCGAAAACTCAAAGCTAGGTGACCTGCTTCGCCCTCTGTTAACAAAGACATGAACTAATGTAAAGATAAGTGAATTGCCGCGCCATCTTTTGGGAAGGTATTAACTAATAGGCCCGCGAAAATTTTCTGACCCGTTCACCTCCTTGGGTATCCTATAACCCGGATAGAAACACCGAAAATTCAAAGCTAGGTGACCTGCTTTGCCCTCTGTTAACAAAGACATGAACTAATGTAAAGATAAGTGAATTGCCGCGCCATCTGTTGGGAAGGTATTAACTAATAGGCCCGCGAAAATTTTCTGACCCGTTTACCTCCTTGGGTATCCTATCACCCGGATAGAAACACCGAAAACTCAAAGCTAGGTAACCTGTTTCGCCCTCTGTTAGCAAAGACATGAACTAATGTAATGATACATGAACTGCCGCGCCATATACGTATTTATTCATTTATTTAGTGTTCTGTCTGACTACAGGTCCATATGAACAGGATCCTTCCATCCTTTTCTCGGACTGGGGCCTGTTCATATACGTTCTTGGTAGATGATCCAGAAGTGGTTTGCCATTGCCTTCTTCTGTGTGTGAATGGAGTAATTGTTGGGATGCCACGGAGAAACCGGGGAAGCCCCCGGAGGAAAACGCCGTGTTGCCTAGACCACGGTCTTGCCCAAAATTGTAAAATTTAGCAGCGCTAATGTACGTATTAGCGCTGCTAAATTTTAAGAGGTTTAGATGAGCAAAGCATAAAATATACATTGAAGAGATTAGAAAAGTACAAGCAATTTTAGTCCAAATTCTGAATGTCATAGACATTTGGGAGTCCTAGGCGTAGTTAAGAGGATAAACTGGGCCTTAAGGAGATATGGTATGAGAATATGGATTGGATTTATCTGGCTCAGGACAGAGACCTGTGAAGTGGTGTTACAAAAACTGGGTTCTATTAAATGTGGGGAATTTCTTGCGGTTACTTAAATACGAAGCAAGTTTCGGTAAGTGTTACAACGCTTAGAAAAATGTATGTGGAAAGTTAGTCATGAATTACGTTCTTACATGTAAGTTAGGATATTTTGGCTGGCTTGTCAAGGTGCTTGTCTGAATTTAGGGAGCGTGTTACTGAAACGTGTTAACGGTAAACATTGGATGTTGGTCCAATGACAAGTCGCAAAGAAACGGACAGAAATGAGAGCAAAAAGAGGGGTATGAACAGGGATTTAAGTCTTGGAAGTATGATAACTTAGTAAACAGAGTATAGGCGTGTGTCAGGGAACTACAAAACATTTTAGTTCGGAAAGTAACTTGGTAATGGATGGTTTCATTTACGGTAGCTTAATGAGTTTGCATAAGTTGTTAATGTGCGGACTGCTAGCCAGATCAGAACATTTGCCACTGCTATGCAGATTTCTTGTGCAGCCAGATAGCTCAGTCAGTATAATAATTGGCTACGGGCTTGACAATCGGGGCTCGATTCCCAACAGGGGGGGAGGATTTCCTCTAGTTTCTGCGTCCAGACAGGCTCTGGGGGCCACCCAACCTCCTGTCCAATGGGTATCGGGATACTTTCCCCGGGGGTAAAGCACGGCCGGGGTGTGACGCTGACCACTCACCCCCCATCTGGTGCCGAGGGTAAGAATGAGTAGGAGCTGAACCACCTTTTCCCTTGAGCGCCTACAATTAATACAGGATCATAAATGTAATAACATTACGAAATACTTGAAGGATAAATTCCTTGCTACAAACTGATGACTTCTAAGTATATTGGGAATTTGAAGTTGATACGCATGTAGATTTACCAATTGAACAGACAAATCAAAACCCATGTTGCTCTCCGTTTTCGGATAGCCCTGCGTTCGATTCTCAGTCCGGCTTATGGCTGTTCTGACCGAGAATTTTGTTTTTCTCAGTGTGCCTCAAGCAGATTCTGGGAGAGTATCTTAAAATGAGGCACTACCGATTTCTTCCCCACGCTTGTCAGTTAACTGTTTTATTGTCATTCTCCTGCTCTATGCTGTGTTGCTTGTGCGTCTGGAAAAATATTGTTTCAGAGATGATTGAAATTGACAAACACCAGTGTTTCTTACTGCAGTAATAAGTATGAGGGATCTATGCCAGCTTTAGTGACTTCCAAACCAACAGTATGCACTTAAATAAATGAATTGAAAATCTTCAACTAGAAATAAGCCCACATGTAGACGTCATTACTTACGACATTCAGAAATAGATTGAAGAGGAAAAACTGATGTTTCATGCGATAATTTTATGCGTTTCCGCAATTAAATTTCCCTGCAGTAAATTACATCATATAAGTATGTTCTGTATGAGCCGGGATAGCTCAGTCAGTATAGTGACTAGCTACATGCTGGACGACCGGGGCAGAGGATTTTTCCTCTAGCCTCTGCGTCCAGACCGGCTCTGGGGTCCACCCAGCCTCCTCTACAATGGATACCGGGGTCCTTTCCCGGGGCGTGATGCTGACCACTCACCCCCATCTAGTGCCGAGGTCAAGAAAGAGAGGAGCTATACCTCCACTCACCCAAAACGCCTACATGGCGTATAGCGGGACAAATTTTACTTTACTTTAAGTATGTTCTGTTGAATACTTTCCATCTAGTGAGCCGTGCGCGATTATGCCTATATCCAGCGTCGTTTCACACAGTAAACCTATATTTTATATGTAAAAAACCGATTGCATAAACTAAATATTTTTTGGTTAATTAACGGCATAGTTTAGGGAGTGTTTCTTTTATATATGGTTATAATACTGATTGATTTTTAAACTTTCGTCCTGAAAAAATTTTTGTAACTAGGACAGAGTACACAGTACTGGTATTTGTGTGTGTGTTGTAACCAAAATCGAATTCAATAAAGCTTATTTGAATTTTGTAGCGCTTTCATGGAAAAATCTGGAATTGCTTTACTTTATACTATTTTTTATAATTTCGTTTTCTTTATTTAGTTCTTAATACAGTAAAATGTTACCGGTGTTTACATTGAATTGTGTAAAGGGAAGATGTAATTCGATGTCATACACGCCACTGTCGCTCAGTATTTTGTAGGTGTGTTGTTACTTGTCAGGGGGATTTTGGTTTTGACTTGCTACATCTCTGATACTGCAAAGTGTAAGATAAATGTGGTATGGCCAAGGCGAGATTCAACAGTTTTTAATCCATAATTAAAATGGAAATACTGATCGACACTAATATGATATTAATTTATCCGTTCTAAATAGGCCTGCATTGAATATGACCCAGTGTTCACGAAAAGTTTGTTATGAACGTTAACACGCAACTGTTTTGATTAATAGCCTTTAATATATTGAAATATGAAATCAATTGAATTAGAATGAATGTGCGGGAAGATCACTTTTGTGTTGGTAGTTTGTTCTGAAACTCCAGAATTTATTTATAGAGCATTTGTTTGTTGAAAATAAAATTTTTCACCAATTGCATAAAGTATTGGTATTTAAGGATTGAAATATTTTCATCGTTGTATGTATATGTTGTATTTATATAGATGAATTTTATAACAGTGGGAAAGTGAGCTACGTTTACGTTTATTGCGTAATTTGAATGAGTTATTAAAATTAATACGAATAATTTTGAATGTAAAGGGTTTATCGAAATTTTACCAGCATTAAAAATCATACCATTTACAAAACACAAAATGTTTTACAGAATCAATGTCAGACTTAAGCTTACAGTCATAAACATTTTTAATACTATGGTGCTATATTTGAAAGTCATAATTATAATTTCACATAAAACAGATTCCTTCCCGGCGTGAAAGAGATGATTTTGTGGAATAAATTTTTAATTCCGAAGCAAAAATGCCGATGTCTCCCACAATATCCATTCGTTGAGTGATGTAAGGCGAGTGATGGCGTGATTACGAGACTCTGCCGAGCCGAGATAGTGCGATGTTTGCCGAGCGAGCGAGCGAACGAGCTATCTAGCTGGCGCTGGCTGCAGTGCGGTGGCAGTCCTCTATGCAACTAGTGAACGGCGGCTACGAAACAACCTCCTTCCTTCTTCCTTCCACCACCACTGCTCAGTACTAACGGCACGCGGTGTAAGCAATGGCGATCGGGCATTGCGCAGCTGTCTACGGAATTGGAGCCACACAACTACGTATATTCAAATAGGAAACAGCCATGTAGAGATAATTTATTCCATTGGCGTAAATTGTCAGGACAGTGGTACTTTCGGTAGTGAGAACCTGCAATTATGTTTTAAGTAAACAAAATATTGTGTACTCTAATTACTGTTTGTCTCGTAGCATTTTATATTCTTCGACTCTTTAAGTGTCATTTACATAGTCTGAATGTTTTGTGTGTTAATACGGATTTTGTGGTGAAGTGAGATTAATATTAACCACATTATGTGTGTACAACGATAGTATTTAAAGCGTTGTAAACAAGTTCGTCACACTGCTTCTGTTTGGTGTGATCATTTTTCAAAAGACCCTTGTATCAGTGCGCCATTTAAACATTCTTGTTGAGTGGACTGAATTGGGTGCATACAGAGAAACTAAACACGACATTAGTGTTTGTCATTGATATAATGCTTAAAACAATAACGTTTATTGAAGGAAAGTGATAAGGACCTGATTTAGCAGTGTGGGAATTTGATTTCATTTGACCGATTGGATACAGTTGCTAAAGGACCAAACATCATAACCTGTAAGTATAGAAATAATATTGTGCGTACATATAGTCTGTGTTTCTCGAAAACGGATTATTGCTTTGCTCTGCAAACGAAGTTTTCTTTTAGTGAATGTGCCGTGAGTGAAAGTATAAAAACAAGTTGAAGTAGAACAGTCAACTGTCTCCATTTCATGCGATTTGAAATAACATGAATTGTTTTTGGTCGACCTCAAAAGAAGCGTTATACTGTGGCAGAATACCCCTTCCCTTCATTCGTGTCTGAGCCCGGAGCATATTTAATTTAGAAATGTGAAACTGGTACCGATGTATTGCTCTAGTTGAATGTGCGCAGATGTCCATAAAGTACAGGAAACTGATTTGTATTAAGAAGGGAAAATTGTTCCTAAGGCTTTTATTTAAATTAGAGTACGATAGTTTGTTCGTATTTAAAATCTATAACTTTAAAATTATTATCTCCTGATTCTTCACTTATAAACAAGTGTAGTTGTAAAATCAGGCTAATAGTGTAAATAACGAAGAAAATTAAGAGCTAATTAGGCACGGTTCATGTTCGATGTTACGTTATAAAACGTGCCTCGGGGGAATTGTAAATTGTAATAAATTAATATGAGAGAAGACTCGAGCTAAATTTGCCATTTCGTGCCGATGGTGTTGTCTGCCGAAGACTTAAACTTAGAATTGCTCACGTTCTTATTTTGCAGATTATCTAATATATCTATAATAGTTGAAAAGTTAACTATCTTGTCGTGATAGTGGATTATGGAATTGAAAATGTTCTCCTGTTTGAAGATACTATTCTCCATTCAATTAAAACTTGCGGATACCACGGTAAACCCCGCTCAGGATGTGCAGTGTGCAGGACAAGATATAAACTTCGTAACGTTCATCACACACTTTTTGTAATGCAATGGTAGTTTTAAGTAAGACAATACTGTCTCATTTAAAATCAGTATTAATGATAATGCCCCCGCCCCCATAGTTTTCAACAGTATTATACGTATATAGCCTTCGAGTTGAAACCGTGTAACTACGTACTAAAAACCAATCGATGCTAAACAGCGCATTAAATCACTTGAAGTGTTACAAAGTCATGTTAATGTGTTAGCAACGAAGTAAGAAGATTTGGTTCGAGTTGCAAAACTACTCATTTATTCATTTGAAGGGAAAACGTTTTCAAAATCGTTAAGACAAATAAACATCTTTCAGACGAATGGATACGAGAGACACCACCTTTTTTCAGTGACGCGATCACGCAAACTATGTACCTCTTTTTTAGTTATGGGTTTTTAACGACACTATGGCAACTACAAAAGTTATATAGACACAGGAAGCGAGGATGATTATGAATTGTGAATTGGGATCGATGTGATAGGGTGCCCGAATTTATAACTTGTGTTGGGCAAGGCCGTGGTCTAGGCAACACGGAGTTTTCCTCCGGAGGCTTCCCCGGTTTCTCCGTGGCATCCCAACAATTACTCCACTCACACTCACACAGAAGAAGGCAATGGCAAACCACTTCTGGATCATCTGCCAAGAACGTATATGAACAGGCTCCCCGCATGGATTGACTTTCCCCCATCTTATGAAAGAATAATGCGGAAACTTTCCGGACAGTGAATTCAGTAACTTTGTATTATTGATCAGAAAGAGAGTGAATTCTAACTGATTGTCCAGTACTGGGCTTCTTGTTTTACGAATTTGACTTCCCTCTTTGGGTAGCGAAGGATCGAAATTGTTTCGACCATCCAGACGTACTCTTCGGTTTGAAAATGAGATGTGATGTTGGTGAATATGACCGTAGTTCTGGAGCGGAGTACAAGGTCGGTCAACCGAAGTCCTTAAAACAAGAAGCTAGAATGTTTGTGGTTCACAGCGTTTTTAATAGGTTATCGTACTTTTGTCCTAGTTCGTGGTTCATTTTAGTGATTTATCGGGTGACGTGTTAGTTTTTTTGCCGAAAGAAGTTTTAGATTTGTGCTATGGTACCTTTCCGTAGACGTTAATTCGAAGATTTGAGTGTGGAAAGTGTTATTTAGATTCTGTAGTGGAAAGTTCTTACGAAAATGAAGTGTGACGAAAGTTAAAAATAGTAATCCGTATTTTAATTCACATGGCGGTCGTTAAAATGTATCCCCAGTTTCTCCGTGGAATCCCAACAATTTCTCACACAGAAGAAGGCAATGGCAAACCCCTTCTGGATCATCTGCCAAGAACGTATATGAACAGGTCCCAGTCCGAGAAAAGGATGGAAGGATCCTGTTCATATGGACCTGTCGTCAGACAGAACACTAAATAATAATAATAATAGACTGTACAGTTTCTCGACCGTGCTTGAAGTGGTAAGATACCGAATGAAAGTTAACGAATTGTCGCTGTGGTGATATTGCAGTATAATGCTACTAAGTTTGGTCTGATGACACTGGTGCCTGTTGTAATAATGATCACTGTGTTTAGAAAAGTGTTTTTAAATTTGGCGGAATAGGCGAGCTGGTTTTGTAGATACGTATTCAACGGTTACGTTCGGAAGCGTATACAGTCAGAGATAAAAGAAGTTTCAGGATTAATTTTAGTAAACTCTGTACATTAAATTATTAGATAGAATATATTATTCATGCGACAACTTAGCTCTAGTCATATTTTAGTGTTTTGCAGAAATGGGTCAACCCAAAATTCTAATTGAGATTCAGTGAATGCAAGAGCTAATGAAACCACGAGTTGTTACAACAAACGATGATTTAACTTCCAGAAGCATAGAAGTACAATAAAAATATGGGTCCGATTATTTTTACCTGCTGCTGAGGGTTTAATGTTAGTTAATGGTGAACTACGTTGTAGTCTGATCGGATTTGTACACCACCATCCATCTGACAGAATAATAAGCAAGTTTCACAAAACCGAATTCTGTAGCAGAGACTGTTAGTAAGAGATGACGTTCTTGCATAATGTAGTTTAAGGTACAATCCCTGTTTGTAAAAAGTTAAGGAAAACTGCCCGGCTTTACGACATGTAGGCGCTTGGAGGGAGGGGAGGTGTAGCTACTACTCATTTTTCACCTCAGCACTAGATAGGGGGTGAGTGGTCAGCGTCACGCCTCGACCTCATTTTACCCCCCCCCCTCCTCCTGAAAGGACCCCGGAACCCATTAGGTAGGAGACCGGGTGGGCCCCACAGCCCGGTCTGGATGCAGATGCTAGAAGAAAAATCCTCTACCCTGCCGGTGATCGAACCCTGGTCGTCCACTCTGCAGCCAGTCACTGTATCGACTGAACTACCGCGGCTCCTACTTTGTGCGTGTCATATTTCTTTGTCATCGTCTCCATTTTTCTGTGTAGCTGACTAGTTGGCCGTCGAGCGCGCTACCTCGGTGTAGGTTTATAACTCATCTGAGGCGTATGTGTGCCCTGTTCTGGCCCATTTTGTGTTATGTCCGCGCTATTAGTGTTTCCACCCTTGACAAATGATTTTGATAATGTCCAAGCGTATGTTCAAAATTGACAAGGTAAACAGGCTTTCGTAATATCTAATAAATGAATTGATATTAGCATTTTTAGAGTTTAGCAGGGGCGGAGCATAAATAAATATTAAAGAGTTTTACCCTTAACACTTCGAAAGAAACAACGTAAAACTTCTTCTGTCTTACTTTCAAGGTTCATTGGTGCTCCATACACTGGAACTCAGCAGAACCGATCAAATGAAATGCATCATTAGCCAGCTTTAGCCAGTGAGGCGTTGTTGCTTTGTTGCTCGTGGCGAGGGTAATCCTCAGCTAGCTGGCTATCAACGCCTGGCTAACGATGCATTTTATCTGCTGTGTTCCAATATATGGAATACCAGTGAACCACGAAAGTAGGGCAGAAACTTTTATTTTCTGCTTTTCAAAGTGTTACCTCGGCTAACACGTGTAGCAAGCTCAATATGGACTCTCTGCTTCTGGAATTTATATACTGCCTTAACCGTGTGGGTTGATGCAGTGGTAACAAGTCTGACTCGCACTTGGAGGCACTGTGGTGCAATTAATGCAGCCGCGGACTAGATAATCTACCCACTGCCTCGAGGTAAATTCAAACTTCATCTGTCATCCAAAGGGAAGAATATATATAGAGGGTTTTAGAGAACAGGGTTTGAGGAGAATGTTTGGACTTAAGAGGGAGAAAGTGAAAAAAGCTGGGGATCATTGGATTATGAAAAGCATTTTAATCTGTACTATTTAACAGATGTTGTGGTCATCAGTTCAATGAGAATAAGATTGGCTAGGAATGTAGTAGGTATGGGAGCTATTAGAATTCTTGTCAGAAAGCCTGAATAAATTAAACGACCTGGGAGACATGGGCGTAAAAGTAATAATAATAATAATAATATTGAAATATATCTTAAGGTAATGGGGTGTGAAGATGTGGACTAACTTCATCTGATTCACGATGGGCTACATAGGCGGGTTACTGAAAAAACAGTAATGAATTACATTTTTGGTTACATGAAAGTAGTGGAATTTTTTGACAAGCAGAGCTACTACTGGCTTGCTTAGTACTGTTTCATGAAATTAGTTAAAAATGTGTGTAAAATCCTTTCTCTTTTAGGTAACGTACACAACAGATAACAGTGAAACATAAATTATATGTTTCTAATACAAAACTGCTAATATTAGCCTTCAAGCAAAATATTGTATGAACTGAGAGACGAAAATTCAGATTGACTTGTCCATATAACTAAGCGTTCAGTTTACTGATTGCATTCGTGTCTGAAGGAATCTTTGATTGATGTGACACTGTACAGTTGATTTACTGCACATGGGATTGGCAGAGGTGTTTTGATTGCTGCCGGTTCAGTAGTGACGCTGGACATACTGTGTGTTTGTGTGTGGGTGGGTGAGGTTGGCAGGACTTTCTTCATTTGTTGCTTCAGTACTGTACCTAAGTAAGGGTGTTTATTTTCTCACACATGAATAAAATGAGAGCTCCATATTGAGGTCGTTTCTGCTCGTCAGTATGTTTTATCTGCGAACGTACTGATAACAT